AGTCACGAACACTATCTGCCAAACGCCGTCCGCCGCCACCCGATCCACAGACCACACCCGCAACACAAACCACTGCCCAACCGATGGCACCTCTTCCTCACCACCGATGCCATCGCTCGCAGCGATACTCGTGTCGTTCGTATTGACGCCCGTTTGCGGGTCTCTTATATTGAGGTTCACGGGAGCGAAGATGAGACAGAAGAGGACACAGAAGAGTAATATCACATAACAGAGGGCCAGGAGTTGGTTGTCGTGCATCTTAAACGACAGCACAAACAGACCCACAAATGCCAGACATTGGAGGAGACAATAGAGAGCGATGACTGTCACAGTCTTCTCGTAATAGACCTGAAGTGAGGCGAGAGTTGCGGTGAGAAGAGTGAAGAGCGCCAACACTGAGATGATGGACGACTGTTGGAGTTTGAAGATATAGCGCTGGTATAGCGCCTCGAGTTCGCGGCTCTCGAAGCGGTGCCGATTCAACAGTCGCGAGAAGACTACCTTTCGGTGACTATTCATCGCTTTCACCGAATGATCCATTCTTTTCGGTCTAACCCTCGGCTGTGGTGTCGGCTAATTGGGGGTCACTTTCGGCGATCAATTAGGGGCTGAGTTGACGCCACTCTTGCACTCACTGTCACTACATATACACCGCATATACTGTTCGTAGAGTTGCGTTGGATTTGATGCACACATTGTTATTGTCATTCAATATACGGCTCATGTCTTACGCTATGGTCTGTTGTGTTGTGTGAAGAGAGCAGAGTCTCCGCCAAGAGATCACTAAAACTGATCAAAAGATTTCTTTGTCGACACAACGCATGTCCAAAACCATTGCATTCCTCCGAAGACAGCAATTACGACAAGCAATGGATGGCTGGAAACACCCCTTCTGTCACTCGTATGGCTGTATTGGCACATTTGGGGGACATTTGGTCACTCTATTTATCGCACGTTATTTGCAGTGTTTGGCAAAACACGTGATCTGTTTTGACATCTGGTGTGAGAAATACACTATTTTTCAATACATTTACTGTTTTTCTTCGCATTTCAACAAAACGTGTGTTTAGTTGAATTGTTTTGAATTGTCTTCATTTGATTCACCACTTGTTGTCTTGTCTTCGAAGCGATGGCCGGTTTTGGTGTGAAATCGCCTCTCAATTCATTCTTGAATCACATGAATGACATGCAGTTCCAGAAGGACGGCCACCGTATGGCCAACGCTATGTCCATCGCTCAGAGGGAGTCTTTGACACCACTCTATGACCACATCAATGAGACAGTCATCTCGAAGTACGTCTTCGCCCCCTTTGACGACCTATTGGTCGCTCATCTCAGGTGTTGTCGAGCGCTGGTTGTGGACAACGACCCGATCCAAGCGTTTCACTACAAGTGTCAGGGAATCCAAGCGTTGACTAAAGTGTTGACGCAATTGAAGGACGAGAACTGGATTTTGCCGGTGATGTACACATCGGCCGTCGAGTTGAGACAATTGGCAACCGTTGCGGATCAGTACAAACGCAAGACCGGCGACACCTCTACGCACGTGAAGCCCGACGAGTGTCTGGAAGAGGCGGCCGCACAACTGATGGCCTGCTTTAGGATTTGCGCCAACGATAACCGCGCGGCGCATGACGTGTCCAAAAGGAAAGGCATGATTAATCTGATTAACCAATTGTTCAAAATCTACTTCAAGATCAATAAATTGCATTTATATAAGCCGTTGACCCGCGCTCTGGAAAACGCCAATATGAACAGTCAGTTCAGTTTAGCCCAAACCGTGACCTATAATTACTTCACGGGAATGAAGTCTCTCTTCGACTCCGACTACAAGAAGGCCGAAGAGTTGCTGTCGTTTGCGTTCAACAATTGTCATCCCGAGGCCCACAAGAATCACAGATTGATATTAATTTACTTAATACCAGTGAAAATGCTTTTGGGACATATGCCCAGCGATCATCTCCTCCACAAGTATCGGCTCCAAGAGTTCGCACCAGTCATCCAATCGGTCAAAGAGGGTAATGTGCGGCGTCTGGATGAGGCCCTGGAGGCAAACGCCCACTTCTTCTGGGGGAACGGCATTTACCTCATTCTCGAGAAACTCAAAATCATTGCCTTTAGAAATATTTGTAAAAAAGTGGCGCTTATTGTGGACTCGCATCAGATCCACATCCAAGTGATTATGACTGCAATGAAGCACTTATACGATGACAGCATTACTCTCGAAGAAGTCCACTGTATTCTCGCAAATCTCATATTCGAAGGCAAAATCAAAGGCTATATTTCATTACAATATCAAAAACTTGTTATTTCTAAACAAAATCCATTTCCGCCGCTCTCGTCGGTCACCGCCTAAACTCATGTCTTGTTTTTTGTGTCACAAAATAATTTAGTGTAAAACTTTAATTTCATTTCAAATCAATGTAATTTGAATACCACTTTTACATTAATCAAATTAAATATTAACGTAATATAGATGTGTTACGTAATACTCTGCGCATGACTTCACATCCAAAGCTTTAACATTATGAAAAAATATCACAAATTTTTACATTACAGATATTTTATTTTACCAATATATTCATTATTATGATTTGTATTATTAAGTATTTGCTTTATTTTTTACTTTAATTTAAAATATGTTTTGTAAAATTAACTTTTTCAAACAACAGTAGTTATTACTATTTTCATTTGCTTTTAGGCATCCATTGCCTCTATATTTGAAGGCTTTTCTAAATACAGTAAAGGACCATCTGTGTGAAGTACCATTTGTGTGAAGTGACCATTTGTGTGAACCAAAACCAAAATCCACACTCAATAGACATAACGTTAAAAAGGTATCAACTGTGTGAACTGATCGATTGTGTGAACCAAATGCTAAAACCCAATCACTTCACCCAAATGATCTTTTACTGTATGTGAATAAACTTGAAAATTATTACCATCTTTATGTCATTTTGTTTTGGGTATTTTCAATGTATATTTAGTATTTAAATTATACATAACATCAATGCGATCGCTGTGTAAACTATTCTTCACATCAAATCAATTGAGTGTAAGTTAAGTAATATTTGTCACGAATTTTTATATAAATTGATTATTTGTTTGAATTCCTATTGTTTTGTGTAAATAATGCATTCAAATGACTGAATGGCTTGTTTTGCATGAATTACATTCATTCTAATTATTCATTTCTTATTTAAAAGTTAAGCAAATTTCTTAAAAATATCTTATTTATATCTTATGTGCCATTTTTGAACAAAAGCTTAATTAAATGTAATTAACACCAAATGGGAGGATAACAATAATCTATATGTTATTTATATCTATATGAAAATCATTAAATAATCAATATATACATGAATTATTAATATGATGGTCAAATTCGCTATAACCTTACTCTACATTTGCTTTTTACTGCATATACTGTACTATTTTAATAGTCTATTAAAGGATTTATAGAAATAAAGAGAGAAAAAGAAAGAAAGAAAGAGAGAGAGAGAGAGAGAGAG